AGAGTTGTAGCTTTTTGGTCTGAGAAGGTCAGTGAAATGCCCTCAGGATTTATCCTGAGATCCTGTACCTCAGATTGTAGAACCTTTGTCAGTGTCAGCCCTGTGGATGAGTCATGGCCAATGCTTGGCCAATACATTTGTGTTTGACTGGATACTGAAAGGAAGTAGAAGTTACACTTCACTCCTAACCACAGTGCAACAGAGTAAGCAAAGATGAGCATCAAACGCATTAGCTGCAACCCAGGAAATATCACAGAATGGCTCATTTGTTAATTAGGCTAGATACCCACTGTTTTATTAGGCCATGGATTAATAGTGACACTAGTTACTATTGTGTAGTACTGCAAAGGTCTCTGCAAGGAATGGAGAAGTAACTGCTCAGACAACAAATAGTCCAGGAAAACCCTCCACTGTCCAAAGCTAACCAGCTGAACTGAGTTTTCCGGAGTCTCAAAGACTGGAAAGACAAAGGATGGAGCTCAACCTCTGGCAAGGAAAATGAGTTTGATAAATAGACCACATTTTCCATAGAGACCCACACAGAACTTGGTCTTGAAAATTAGAACCTATTCTCACCTAATAGATGTTAAATATGTGTTAAAGCCTCACTTTCTATGCAGGGAGCACATACGATTTTATCTGTCAATGTGGAAAATCAAATAAATGAATAATTAACTAAAAATGTGAAAGCAAAATTAAAAATGATTCACTCCTAAGTAGATTAATCAAACAGAAATGGCATATCAAAGAACAAACTATCGATCTGCAGAAAATATACCTGTTGGAGCAACAGAGGAGCTGCCTTCGCTTTATTTGCTTGTGAATGATTTTTTTTTATTTTTTCATTCTTTTTTTTTCTAGCCTTCCAGTTTTGATTAGCCATTTTTTCCTTTTTTATGAGGCAGGATCTTGCTATGTAGTTTAGGCTGGCCTTGAACTTGTTCGTGTAGCCCAGGCTGGCCTTGAACTCATGGCGGTCTTCCTGCTTTAGCCTCCTAAGTGCTGGGGTTGAAGACATGCACTACCACACTCTGCTTTGGATAATATTTTAGACAAAGATATATTTCTAATTAAAAATCATTCCACTGTCTCCCTTCTTTAATCAATATCTTTGAAAAGCTCTGCTTGTGATCTAAATGCTCTTCTTACATAGATACTTCCATTCAACTTTTTTCCTTTTTAGGAATAGGAGATGAGAGACCATTCACCTTATTTAATGTCCTGTTGCCCCAAATAAGACCTACTCAGAAATCAAGTTCTAGCATGATTTTAATTTCTAAGATCATGTTAGAACTTGCTTTCAAGATAGGTCCTACTTGGGAGGCAACAGGGTATGATGTTTGTTGATGACTGATATTCTTTGAAGTTTAGAGTTTAGACAAGACCAGTCTATATAGCATGCATCTTCATGCTTAGAGTGCAGGTCTTCAGGATTTTCTCTGGAGACTTTGATACATTCACTGAGACTCCTGCCACCCCATATGCTGGCAGATGCACAACCACAGCATAGAGACTACTGAAAAATCTGCTCTGCTTCACAAAAGTTCTCTTGATATTTTAATGTCTTGCCTTGCTCATGTTTAGAATCAGGAGCCAGCCCAGGGGAAGAAACTAACTATACGCTGAAGGTCACTGAGTCTAGTTTTGTCACTGCATCTATGAAAGACTCTCAGGCTTTGATGTGCTTTTCACCCAGATTTCTTTCCCACTGATCGCTGGAACAAAATAATTTCTTTTGTGTTCCCTGGTGACTGTAAGGGACTCCCAGTGTGTTGGGGTGGGGTGGGGGGAGGCTGCGCATGCTATCTCGTTTTCTCCCGGAGTTGTAGTACAGTCATCAGGCATCCCCTCTAAAGGCTGCTGGCTTAGAGAAGAGCTGATACAGGTTATAAAAATGGAACTGCTCTTTAAGTAGGTTGGGTCTTAGGACTAACATTAAGCAGATTACAGACATACATTGGAGGTACGTGTGCGAATGAACCAGTTGTGCTGTCCAGATTTCTTTTTTGGTCTGAGGAAATTATGATGAGCAAGATGATTGGGTATTAGCCTGATTTGGGAAGATATTTATGAAAAAAGTTTATTGACCAGTGAGTGGATTGTATGTTTTAAGTTTGTCTTATGTACTTATAGACCTGTGTTTATAGATTTACTAAAACTAGAAGTCAAACTGCATGTAATTATTTATGCTAAATTATATCTAGTAGTATATGTGTGTGGGCAATAAGCAAAAGACCTTTTAGTTTTTAAATATTTTTACTGAAGTGGTTTTATATGATGTTAAGGCTAGTTTTTATTTCCAATTTTACATTCTGATGTTATTTGTTAGGGTATGTTTAAATCATCTCAGAATAAATATATTCAGTAGTTATTTTAATTTGAGTTACTCTATGCGTAATGTGACTAACATTTTCTTTCAGGTGTAGAGTTTGGTCCACCTGAATGTTATCAACAACTTAATTCTAAGAATGATATGTCTGGAAACTGTGGTATAACAGGCCCCGGGAAATACACAGCGTGTACGCCTAGGTATGCCCTAGGAAATCTGAGAACCTCTGCTGCCTTGTATTTGAAAAGATCATGATTAAGTAAGGTTGTATGTAACCAAGATGTCACCTGACCATGACATGAAACTGTTCCATGCAATGGTAAATGCGATAGAGGCAGAGAAGTGCTACCCTTATCTGCCTGGCAGACTCAGATTAGCCTGTGTGCTTTGCCACATAGCATTGTGTTACTCATCTGTAATTACCTTTTTATTTTACGTGCTATCTCCCACTGCAGATTTGGCTGGAGTACACAGCACATTTCTGGGGTCCAACTTGGACCTACCACAGAGCTATTGACACCAGAGGAATTTTATTACTTTTATATTTCTCTGTTTATTGCATGGGCTTTCCTTATTCTGTCTGGTTGAGGTTTATTTTGCTTTATCTTATTTTGTTTTTGAGGGTATTTTGCGCTCGCTCTCTCTCTCTCTCTCTCTCTCTCTCTCTCTCTCTCTCTCTCTCT